TTCCCCCCACTAATATCAATGATGGGGGCAACTATTCCCCCTCACTAATATCAATGATGGGGCACTATTCCTCCCACTGATGTCAATGATGGGGCACTATTCCTCCCACTAATACCAATGAAGGGGCACTATTCCTTCCACTAATACCAATGATGGAGTACTATTCCTTCCACTGACACCAAATATAGGGCACAATTCCTCCCACTAATACCAATGATGGGGTACTATCCCTCCCACTGACACCAACAATAGGGCACTATTCCTCCCAATAATGCCAATGATGGGGCACTATTCCTCCCACTAATACCAATGATGGGGCACTATTCCTCCCACTAATACCAATGATGGGGCACTATTCCTCCCACTAATGATGGACCAAATACCAGTGATGGAGTACTATTCCTCCCACTGACACCAATGATGGGGCATTATTCCTCCCACTGATACCAATGATAGAGCACTATTCCTCCCAATAATACCAATGATGGGGTACTATCCCTCCCACTGACACCAACAATAGGGCACTATTCCTCCCAATAATGCCAATGATGGGGCATTATTCATCCCACTGACACCTATAGCACACTATTCCTCCTATTGTGTCTGACCACAAACTCTGAGACAAATTTTATTTGCACTGATGCTGGGCCCAGGACATTTTCTACCCCCACTGGCCACAATCAAGTCCCCCTACTGTCTGAAGGAAAGTAAACTGGTCCTTTGTTTGAAAGGTTTGGCAATCCCTGACATTGACCAAGGGTCTACCCGATAGGATATACAGTAGTGAGAATTTGTAAGAAGCAGTTCCTGAAAAATCCAAAGGAGATTGTATGAGATTGTAACATGTGTGGTGAAGCAGGAGTGCATATTAAGGGCCACATCAAGATTTTGCATTGCTTCAGTGTATAGTCCTGTGTTTGTGCATTGGCGTGATACAGTGCCATTCATTTTTAACGACATTCCAGTACACCGTACTCAACACATTAGCATTTTAATGCGACACAACTACAGTCAATGGATGGTCAGGTTTTCTGTGGATTGCATTACAAAAAAGGAACAGATTTTGGACATGCTGGGGTGCTTTGGCAACCCATTCAGAAAGAACATTACATGTATGCTTTGGGGCACCACACAAATGTACATGGACCCCTATAATGGACAACTCCTGTAAGCATAGCTCTCCTTATTACAGGAAGATCTCCAAATCTGTAAGCCCCAAGACCCAAGCAAGATGATTGGGACTAATTACTAAAAGAGTTGAGAATCTTAACTTAATAATTTGTGTGACTTTTCATTTTCATTATCCAATTATGTGAAAAGCGAATTTCTACTTACTTATTTCACTTACTCATGATTGCTTTTTTTTATGTGAACAGGAATTTCAAATGATTGGATTAAAGTGAATGTTCAGACAATTTATTGAGTGAAGATTCATGAGTCAGCGTGTCATCCCATGTTTCTATAGAAAGGCGGAAAGGAAAAAAAAACAGATTCCATGAATCTGGCCTTGCGTCATGGGAATTAAACTGTAATACGTATTTTCACTTCGCCGTGATTCACAGATTTTCTGTGTATATTGCCCTCCCTGACATCACCAATAATCTCTCTTTTCCTATAATTGAAGGTGTTTTCACACTACCCCACCCCCTGCTGCAACTGTTTCTTGTGATCCTCCATCTTCTCATTAGTTGCCCTCTGCTGTAAGGCATTCCACCTTCAGGTGATAGATCCACCATTAATAATTACTCTCATTACTCTCATTATCGCCATCCCCTCTCCCCATGCCATTAATCACATTTCTCTACGTCACTTTTCCTTTATTATTAATGAGGATCTGTCCCTACCCACCTGTACTGCTCTACATATTTAACCCTTATGGGCTAGGGTTGGCTTGGTTCGTATTTAATATCACTTAAAGTGGTTGTAAACCTCAGACATGAAATATGAACAAAGCATATCCCTCTATAGTGTGTACTTGTCTCAGTTAAGAGCACTAAGTTTTATTTCTGTCTGCTGTTTTGTTCCTTTACTAGCAAGGTGAATCTCTTCTCAAGAGTTTTCCTGACACCAAGAAAAATGGTGACAGAGGGAGGACCTCCAAGCAGATTGATAGCCTCAATTCCTGTGAGCTGTGTTAAGAGGGTGTGTCCCTTCCCTCCAATCAGCTCTCAGAGTTCTCCTGATGTAACTTCAGCTCCCCTCCCCCTTCTTTTCAGAGCTGAGAGATCCTATGTAAATTCTGCACTTTGATTGAATGTAGGGAAAAGACAGCTGCAGATAAACAGGTACAACCTATGTAGGAGGATTTGTTTAACCACTTGCCTAACGGGCATTTTTATCATTTTTTCTCACAAATAGAGCTTTCTTTTGGATGTATTTACCTGCCGCTGGGTGTTTTTCTTTTTGCACTATAAACAAAAAAAGAGCAAACAATTTGAAAAAAAAAGTTTCTTTGTTTCTATTATAAAATTTTGCAAACAGGTAATTTTTCTCCTTCACTGATGTGTGTTGATGAGGCTGCACTGGTAAGTAGCACTGATGGGCACTGATAGGTGGCACTGATGAGCACTGATAGGCAGCACTGAAGGGCACTGATAGGCGGCACTGATAGGCAGCACTGATGATGGGTACTGATAGTCGGCACTGATAGGCAGCACTGACTGGCGGCACTGCTGGGCATTGACTGGTGGCACTGATGGGCACTGACTGGCGCAACTGCTTGGCATTGACTGGTGGCACTAATGGGTACTGACTGGCACAACTGCTGGGCACTGGCACTGACTGGCGGCAATGAACCAAATGCGATATCTCCTGCGCTCCAGGACCCAGACCGGTGGTGAGTAGATGGAATCAAACTCCAAAAAAGGAAGGAGGGAACCACCGAAATAGTTAAGGTCGTGCAGCTCCACATCAAGGCTGGGGAAGCCCAAACAGAACTGTGAGGAAGAACAAAAAAGAAAAAGAAGCGCACCAACCTTGCGCAATACCTCAGTAACCAAAATTTATTAAATAAAAGAATGGTACTCACAAACAGCGAATAAAAACAGGCATGTCAGTCCTCAAAGGGACTTTAAAGGCAAGATGCAAATGCGAATCCCATCATGGAGGAAGCCACTCAGTACAGCTGACGCGTTTCGAAGGACAAGCCTTCTTCCTCAGAGCTCTGAGGAAGAAGGCTTGTCCCTTTAAAGTCCCTTTGAGGACTGACATGCCTGTTTTTATTCGCTGTTTGTGAGTACCATTCTTTTATTTAATAAATTTTGGTTACTGAGGTAATGCGCAAGGTTGGTGCGCTTCTTTTTCTTTTTTGTTCTTCCTCACTGACTGGCGGCAATGCTGGGCATTGACTGGTGGCAGTGATGGGCACTGACTGGTGCAACTGCTGGGCACTGACTGGCGGCACTGCTGGGCTGCAATGATGGGCACTGGTGGGTGGCACTGCTGGACACAGGTGGGCGGAACTGGTGGGTGGCATTGCTGGGCACCGATCATCAGGGCACTGATCATCAGTGCCCTGATGATCGGTGCCGATCCCTGCTCTGACAACTGCTGGTTCTTGGCAGTACTTTCCTCATGCTCTGACAGCGTGAGGAAAGTGAAGCCAAGAACCGGCAATTGCATTTCCCTGTGATCAGTGTGTCATTGGACACGGCTGAACATGTGGTAAAAGGCCACTGTGATTGGCCTTTTACCACATCCGTAGGACACAGCGATCATGGGGGCGCCGGGGGGGCGCAGGAGAGCGCGTTCTGGGAGGACGTCATATGACGCCCTCTCAGAACTGGCCGGCCGCAGTGTAGCCGTCATTCGCCTATCTGCGGTTGGCAACTAGTTAATCTCTGTGCATCACCTGAGGCCAGTCACTTCACTGTGTAATTAATACGTGTTCAGGTTTAAAGGTATGAGGTGGCAACCCTAGTGAGGAACACAGGTAGGTTCCCATGGTTGTCTGGCTGTCTTGCTGACCCTTCTCGCTTCAACACAATGGGGTTAATTTACTGCAGACAAATAGACTGTGCACGTTGCAAAGTTAGTAAATGTGCAGAATCTTTGTTGACTTGTATCATCCAATCACGTGCAAGCAAAAATGCTGTTTTTTTTATTTTCCTTGCATGGGATTGGCTATTCTTTGCAAAGTGAAGCTTTACTTCATTTACTAAGTTCTGGAGCAACTGCACTCACAGAGTGCACAGTCTATTGGCCTTTAGTAAATCAACCCCTATAAGTCACAGGCCTGGAAAATAATGCAGCTAAGGGCTTCTCACTTTAATCCTGAATATTTGTTCTAGGTCAGTGACTGAGGATAAATTGAAGCTGCAGGCTGCCAGGCAAGTAGCATTTTCAGAAGGGAGGCATTACTTGCAACCTTCTGTATTCTTTTAATGAATGATTTAGGATCCATGCGCACTATAAGCTAGAAGAAAAGCCAGAAAAACACTAATAGCATTTTTGTGCCAGCTTTTAACAGCAGTTAGAAGCATTCAGCTTTTTTTCTGCTGGCAAATCGCTACCAAAAACGTTAGAACAAATCAATGCACTGCCCATGCAGGGAAAATAAACAGAAAGGAGAACAAGTCTTCTGGCCCTTGGCTTTAATGCGGATTAGTAAGCACCCTTTGATTTCAGGAGCTTCCATTGATTGTAGGCATTTGCTGAGATATAATACACAACTCATCGTGAGTTTCTCCATACATTGTACTAGAGCTGATTCACCTGACGTGTGCTAGTACATAGCACTATGTGTGAAATTTGCAGACTGCCAATGCTGACATCCTTATAAAATGCTAGTTTCCTGGCTGTCTTTAGCTTTAATACAATTATCATTGAAAACCAGGCCCAGGTCTAGAGGGGTGCTCCCAGATTTTAGTTGTGCCCTCCCAAGATCTCTGAGAGTGTGTTCACTAATCTAGGAGATGAGACTTGATGGGGCCAATTAATGCAAGGGGGGAATCAGATGAGGATGGTTGATGTAAGGGGCACTCTGAGGGGGACAGTTGATGTAAGGGGGCACTCTGATGGGGACAGTTGATGTAAAGGGGCACTCTGATGAGGACAGTTGATGTAGGGGGCACTCTGATGAGGACAGTTGATGTAAGGGACACTCTGATGGGGACAGTTGATGTAAGGGGGCACTCTGATGAGAAACGTTGATGTAAGGGGCACTCTGATGAGAAACGTTGGTGTTTGGGGGCACTCTGATGAGGACAGTTGATGTAAGGGATACTCTGATGGGGACAGTTGATGTAAAGGGGCACTCTGATGAGGACAGTTGATGTAAGGGGGTACTCTGATGAGAAACGTTGATGTAAGGGAGCACTCTGATGAGGACAATTGATGTAAAAAGGCACTCTGATGGGGACAGTTGATGTAACGGGATACTCTGATGGGGATAGTTGATGTAAGGGGGCACTCTGATGAGAAACGTTGTTGTAAGAGGGAACTCTGATGAGGACAGTTGATGTAAGGGACACTCTGATGGGGACAGTTGATGTAAGGGGGAACTCTGATGGGGACAGTTGATGTAAAGGGGCACTCTGATGAGGACAGTTGATGTAAGGGGGCACTCTGATGGGGACAGTTGATGTAAGGGGGCACTCTGATGGGGACAGTTGATGTAAGGGGGCACTCTGATGGGGACAGTTGATGTAAGGGGGCACTCTGATGCGAAAAGGTGATGTAAGGGGGCACTCTGATGAGGACAGTTGATGTAGGGGGCACTCTGATGGGGACAGTTGATGTAAGGGGGCACTCTGATGAGGACAGTTGATGTAAGGGGGCACTCTGATGAGGACAGTTAATGTAAGGGGGCACTCTGAGGGGGGCAATTGATGTAAGGAGGGACTCTGATTGGGACAGCTGATATAAGGGGCACAGGTTCTGTTTAATCATCCTAATCTAATGATAGCCTAATACATACTAGCTTCCTCTGTTCACTCCTGCACGGCCTCTGCACTGCCTTTCAAACATCACTTCCATGCTGTGACTCCGTGGTACAGAAGCGTGCTGAGTGAACAGGGAATACTGGTTCTGTTCTAGTGATGAGCTTGATGTTTGAGTCGAACATACATTCGGCGAACACACAAACAGTAAGGGCATTCAGCGTGATGTTCGCCCGCCGCACCCCACAATCACTGTGCTCTGACAGTGCATTGTGATTGGACAAAGTAATGCACTTGGCCACCTGACCACTGGTCAGGTGCAATGCTTTGGCCAATCGCAGCACAACCAGCATGCCCCAGTCAAAGACGCCACAAGGGAGCGGGGTCACCGGCGATGTCACCGGGTGGCCTGCCCCTTAGATACTTAAGAACTGTCAGGTCAGGGGAGCAGTCAGATGGTGGGAGCCAGCATTGAAAGCGGAGCCTTTTTTTTTTGGGTCAGCAGTGGAGGTGGGCATCGGATTGACAATGGATCTACTTCTGCAGAGGCGGGGCAGTGATTCCACAATCTCCAGCTCATCCAATCAGAGAATACCTTGTATTGATTAAAAAAAGCAAGGTGTTAGGTGAATGGCGACACTGCAGAGTGAGTGACTATGCAGAAGTGCAGCTACTTGGAACTGGTCCCAGAAGACAGCGGTGGTCACTGTAGTTGCAGCAACTACCACCATGATGCAACGTTTCCAAAGCATTCCCACATGTACGGCATATGCATACAAGCTGAACCAACATAACTATGAAATAAAATCATGCCTAAACTTCAGCTTCAGGTCAGTTTTCAATGAGAAGCACAATATAGCTTTAACCTGTGTCATGTTCCTTGTTTTAGTCGTTCTAACACAGATCGATTACTCAGTTTACCCACTTCTGCCTTTCAAAAAGACCCCTTGTCAGTTGCGATTTTTTCTTGTGTCTTTTAAACCACAGACAGGTTCTTCCGCTAATGGATTTCTCTGTGATGTATAACCCATGACACTACATTTCTCCACTTGCTCTTTACCTTCTTTAATATTCACTGCTTGTCTCTAACTGTTACTGAACATATGCACACCTGACTGTAAGTGAGGTGATGATTTACATCTACTGATCATAGTGTCAGTTTTAAATATTTCTAGGAAACTCGTGGCAGTGGTACATCCTATAAAAGTCTCAAAGTAGTTGTAAACCTCAGACATGAAATATGAACAAAGCATATCCCTCTATAGTGTGTCTCAGTTCAGAGTACTAAGCGTCATTTTGTCCATTGCTTCGTTCCTCTGCTATCAGCATGAGTAATTTCTGAGGAGTTTTCATGACACCAAGAGAAAAATGGTGATGGGGAGGGCACAACCTGTGATTGACAGCCTCAACTCTGTACCTGTGTGCTGTGTGAAGGGGGGTGTCCCTTCCCTCCAATCTGCTCTTAGAGCTCTCCTTACTGATGTAACTTCAGCTCTCCTCCCCTGCTTTTCCACGCTGAGAGATCCTGTGTAAATTCTGTACTTTGAATGGATGTAGGGCTGGAATTACACAGGTACAAAAGGAACAGGAGCAGCGCCACTAAGTGCAGACGTTATGACAGTTCGTTAAATCATAAAATAGGCCATGCCGCTGTCTGGGACAAGGAAGCCAGTCGGGAACCATCAACCATCTGGAACAAGGGCTGGAACCAGGGGCACACTGACCATTCGAGCTCTCGGGCACTGCCTGAGGGCCCGGGGTCAGTAGGGGGCCCCATGAAATGCCCCTGGTACCTTTTTTATGGGCTTTTTTGAGTGTGGGCAAGGACACAGGGGCCCCATGATCCCCTATTGTCCGGGGGCCCCATGAGTTGTCAGTCTGCCCCTGGATGGAACACATGATAGACCACAGCGCCTGTGTGTTGACCTCACCAGGAAATGTTGCTTCCTCCTCTTGGTGACGTCATTACGCCAGCTCTGCAGTCCACTTCACTGGGTATAGGTAAGGATTTACAACCACTTTAGAGGGGAGCTAAACTCTTATTTTTTTACAGCCAGGGATGCTGCAGTCTTGGCCTCTGTTTGATCTGCAGTTGCCATGGTGCTGCACATGTGATCAGTTACGTAACTGTCACGTACCTGAGAGGAGACTGAAATGACGAGGTCAGCCTCTCTTGGATCTTCAGCCCAGGCCCCACTGAGAGTGGAACAGAGGGTGCTGAGGGACAGGAGGAACACAAGTGCCAGTAGATGTTGATAAGAGAACCTGAAGCAGTAGATGCAGTCCCAAGGAGACTGGTGAACCATCAGGTCAGGAACAGTAGGCGCACTCAATAGTCAAGCTGAGGTTAATAGCTCAATAGCCTTGCGCTGCAGGCCCAGGACATGTGGCTTATCAGAGCTTTCAGCAGACTGGTGTTCAGAACACTCAGTGAGGTGCAGAGCTGCAACAGCAGGTAGCCGGACAGGCACTCGAACAGGTCGGGAAGCCAAGGTTGGAGACAGAAGCAAAGTCACAGGATTAGCCAGGGTCATCAACAGGCGGGCAGCGAGGTGCCAAATCATAAGCAGAGCCAAAGTCAGGAACAAGCCAGGTCAGGAACTGGTGACATGTCAAGAGCAGAATCCAAAATCAGGTCAGGAACTGGTGACATGTCAAGAACAGAATCCAAAATCAGGTCAAGAACTGGTGACATGTCAAGAGCAGAATCCAAAATCAGGTCAGTAACAAGCTGTATCAGTAACAAGGGAACACCCTGGAAGAACGCAGAACACAGGGAACAGCTGAAGACCAGTCAGCACTGAAAGTGAGCAAGAGCATCCTTTAAATACCCTGTCTGGCTCCAGAAACTGTGGGCCTACAGCTACAGTCAGCATCCCGGTACAACCACTTGAAGGCCGGTGATATTCCAGTTACATGACTGGTCCACAAGAGGTTAAAGATGGAGTTTTCCTTTAATTATGGTGTCACTGTGAATATTATTGTGAGCCTTTTAAACCTACAGCCAGAATGGCGCGGACTTCTGGCAGCCACACTGAAGGAGCCTGGGAGGATTTGCACCCATGTTGAGATTTAATGGCCTTCCTTGCACACTAATAATAAATGTGTGAGGTATTAAACGCTGCTGACACAACAAAGAGAATATCTAGTGAGACAGTGAATGCTGAATTATCTCATGGAACAGTATTAAAGCTGAGGACAGTGTGGGGCCAGCCGCCCCCTACATCCCCCCCACCGTCCCTGCCTGCATGGTTCTGTCATGTTCCGGCAGTGAGATAGATGTTATGTGCCCACTTGCAGTTCCACGCACTGAGGAAGCCAGGGAGCCGCAGTTTCCATCACTCAGACAGCTGCCTTAAAAGCCTATTAATATTTTATTACATGGTTTGCTTGCTCTTTATGCTCCCTTGCTCTGCCTCTGACTGACAGATTATCATGTGCGCTCCCTCCCCTAACAGGGGCAGCCCCAGGGACCTCAGAATTTCCTTTATAAGCTCTTATTTCCACCGCAGAATAAAGCATACAAGATTCATCTAAGACCACCGCTTCTTAGGCATGTTTATATTGCCCTTTATGTGTTGTAGATGGAATATTGTATTGTAGGATTAAAAGTAGAACAGTACAACCATTACGGTTGCGGCAAAGCGGTTCCACAGGGACCAAAAAGACCACTTCTGTATTCTGCGGAAAGCAATGATCGTGAATTTCCTGCAAGAAAGCATTATTATTGTAACCTTTAGCTGAAAGACTTTCTTTGAAGGGTTAGTTCACCTTTACAAAAAAAAAAAAAAAAACTCAGTATAAAACAAGAGAATAATAATCGCGCTAGGGCTCAAACTTTGTCAATCTTAATAAAAAGCAGCTAGCACAACATTGCAGGCAACATTACAAGCATACATATAAAATTACTATTTAGTGTAAACAATCAATATCTAAAACAGCAAATAAATGCATTCACATACGGCAGGGTTTCTCAACCAGGGTTCCTCCGGAGGTTGCTAGGGGTTCCTTGAGCAACGAGCAATTTCTGACTCTCAGATACATTTCTATTGATACCAAAGGACCTTATAGCTATCTGTAAGGGGGTAATTCTTCCCAATGGCACAAGTGTTAGGAGCATTCTTCCCACTCATCATCACACTTTTGTATCATGAGTTTTAGACATAGGGAACCCCTGTAAAAAATGACTATGGTCAGTGGGAAGAAAGCGGTGCCCATAGCGAAAAAAGAAAGAGAAAAATAGCGGAGGGCAGACATGACTAGGTGAAAAGGAGTAGGAAAGACAGGAAAGGGTTAAGTAAAGGTGGGAGGTAGTAAAACGTATAGGGAACCTGATTGGTGATGGATGTGCGGGGAGGGGTCTTCGACACCTTTGGTGGGGGGGGTCCTGACAATCCAGTGCAGGAGTGGCAGTGGAGGAGCAAGCTTCCCTCCCACCCTGACCCCTTGGGGCACTTTGTTTGGGTTTTTCAGCTCCCAGTTTATTCTGGTTCCGGGGGCGGTTGTTGGTCTTTGGAGGCGGCAAATAATTTTAAGCTATATGAATGGTTGGGACCCATCGGTGGTATGGTGTGCCCGGGTGGGTTCTGGTTAACCGAGGTTTAACTGAAAGGTGGAGGTTCTGCACTGCGGATGGTGTGTTTTGTCTCCAAGCCGGTGCATTGCGGCTGGAGGCCTAGTAATAATATGGTTCCGCAGGGGAATATCAGCTTTCTTTGGTGCCTTCGAAGACCAACAACTTCTCCTGTATGTTTCTGTTTTAAAGGAATGTTTTTTTGTTATTGAAGTTGAATTGTTAATAAAAGGCCGTGATGGCCATTTTACTCCAAAAGGTGTTTTGATCTTCTTTATTGGTATAGTTAAGGGGGTATATCGAAAGAGATCAAGAGAGATCAAGAGAGATCGAGAGAGAGAGCGGTATAGGGGTCTTAACCACTTCCCGCCCGGCCG